AAATTGGTATGGAGATATACGAAATCAATCGCATACCCTTGGAGAAAGATTTAAGCTATTGTCAAAAGGGGTGTGACATCTCCCATACAAACCGAATTTTTCATACTGCTTATCTCTGGAAATTTTTTGGTAGAGTTCTAGAGTTTTGTATTGAGATGTACGAAATAAATCGCATACTCTTGGAGAAAAATTGGAACTATTGGAAAAGGGGGCGTGGCGTCTTCCATACAAACCGAATTTTTCATACTGCCTATCTTTGGAAGTGTTCATGGTAGAGTTCCGGAACTTGGTATGGAGATATACGAAATCAATCGCATACTCATGAAGAAAGAGGGCAGCTGTTGGAAAGGGGGGCGTGGCACCTCCCATATAAATCGAATTTTTATACTGCATATCTCTGAAAGTATTCATGGTACAGTACTGGAACTTCGTATGGAGATATGTATATAGTTGAAATCAAGCCCATACTCATGGAGAAAATTTGGGTTATTTGAAAAGGGGTGTGAGGCCTACAAACGTACCGACCTTTAGCTATCTTTGAATGAATTTTTGTATTATTCTGTAGGTGTGTTTGTGAGTGAAATCCTCCTAAATGGTTGTACGGATTTTGACGAAACTTTTTGTGTATTTGAGTGGGTCTCTGGATGGTTTAGTTTCACAATTTAATCCGACAGTTGGCGCTGTAGTTGAGTTATTACTAAAAATCTTATTTCTGATCCGATTTGGCTAATGTTTTAAATATGTATGCAATACTATTGCAAAAACGTTCTGCCAAGTGGTGCTGAAGTCGAGCTATTACTAAAAATAGCTAAGTGAGAAAAGGTGCCGTGAAGGTCAGATTAAATCGACCTGTTGCACCATTGAGTATATCGAACGCTCCTGCAATTGGACCAATGGATGTGATTTTCCAATATTATTATGCGTTCAAACCTTTAAGGTATTTCGTCTAAAATAAGTATATGTATATTGCATTTCTGTAGAACAATGATTCGCACCCATTTTGAAATTGCCACCTACTATACTGTAAAGCTTCTAGGACATTCACTATAGAACCGGGTCATTGTTGCCGCCAGGGAGTGAAGAGGAAAAAATTTATTTCGCTTTGCGAATAACCACGCTACGAAATGCCGCACAACTGGAGAATTTCAAGAACGGATATAAAACTTTCCTTAGGTTATTTAAAGCGGAAAATGACCACCAAACCTTAATCTTAGCAGACAAATGTGCCAATGAAAATCGTAAACGTGAATTGTTGCTGAAAATGTTGGACCAAAAAGTTACAATAAAATATATAAAAATTTTGGGCGGGACGAAGTTCGCCGGGTCTGCTAGTAATTTTATAATTTTGTATTATTTTTATAATTTTCTGGAATCATGATATAGATTGTCAGACTGTGAAAATCCATAAACGAGTCGAATAAATTCTGAATTGATTAATTTTTGGCATGAACCCCTTTTTTAAAAAAGGCAGTTAGTTTGATAGATTGTAATTGAAATACACAAGCTACTGCTGTAATACTTATCTGCATGATTGTAATATGTTGTACTTTGAATTTAAGATGAAAAATCTATTTTTGTACAAGAATTCAATGTAAAGTTGGTGTAGCAAAATAACCAATGTCAATGACACTTCATTTTAAAACCTATAATTAACGTTCAACAATTTGAACCAACACGCTCCTCATTTTTCTACAACACAAAGCGATGAATCATAGATTATCCAATGAAACTAAGAAACAATTCGGATTTCCGTGTTTCTACAGAAGTGTTTCCTTATGTGGTCCAGAATACCCTTCGCTTCTCTATTTAGCTACGGTTTGCCAAAATAGTTCAATTAATATCATCAGAAAACGCAAACAAACAAAAGCAAACATTTCGGTATCGTTGAGTTTCGCTCATACAAGGTAACGAAACACAACAGATTCAAATCACTCGGATGCATTTTGAAGAGTATTACCGAATCGTTATTTACATACCTTACCTAGATCTTTTCATTACGCAATTGCAAGATCGATTTCTAAAACACCGGGATATTTTGTCTAATTTTGCTTACCTCCTTCCTGATAAACCCCAAATTTTGATAAATTATCTTGGTATAAACTGTTTGAGAAATATATATCCATTTTACATGATTCGGTGCTAGAAATATAGACAAGTGAAGTTTAACTTTGGAGAAAACGCATCGCTGGTATAAATATTCAAAATTCATTTGAAGCTTTGGATGTTTGTAACTCCGATGCTTTTCCAAATGTTCATCAAGTGCTTAGAGTTATATCTCTTTTACATTGTACGACTGCCGTGAATGAAAGAACGTTTTCAACTTTGCGCCGCCTTAAAACTTATTTGAGATCAACTATAAAAGAAGATGGTCTCAATGTGCTAGCTTTTCTTAATATTCACCGAAATCTGGATGCTAATGTTGACTCAGTATTAAAAGAATTTGTATCTACCTCGGTGAATTGCATTGTTAAATGCAGAATAATTTACTTTTCTTTAGCGAATTATATCCATAAATAAATACAATATGCTGATTACTCTAAATAAAACAATGATATTCTTAGTAGCTGCGAATGAATTTACATATTTAGTAAAAAAAATGTGTGAGTACCGGTTCGTCAGGTCTTGAAATTATACTCATTTTTTAGAGAATTTCATATACATAGGTTTCGGGATTGGATTTTAGGAGATTGGAGGGCGCGGAAATTATTCCATATTCACCAAATTCCCAGGGAACATGTACATTTTTAGAAAAATCTTCGCAGGTTAATTATTGTTTCCACCTAACTCCATATAGTCGAAACACTGTCCGTCGTTAGAAAAAAAGGTAAAAAAATCCGCGCACAAATACATACCATTACATATACAGTATATATTGCTTTGCTGCTTTCATGCTTAAGTACACATTTGAGATACCTGCCTCAAAATGCGCATCAGCGGCATTATTTTATTTATTTATATGGAAACTGCTTCGATAGATGCATTCAACATACCTGCACATTAGCGATA